ACACACGAACAACATGAAGCTACTCACGCAGAGAAGAACGGCTGCTGCTGCATCATCATCCTCATCATTTCTGCTACACTGGCAGGGCTAGGGGCCAGGACTCTATTCTTCGGGTTTTTGGGGGATGTTGCTCCGGGTCCGATAACTGGCAACCCACCCGACGTGCACGGTGTGAGGTCTCGCAGCAAGCTATCAAATACGGCGCATTTCTCGGTTTTTAAAAAAAACGCTATGCGTCGCCAGGTGTTTCATCGGATTTGAGGTGTTACCTCCTTTGACAGTATCACAGTATCAGCTTAAAGCACTTGTTGCTGCTGAGTTTGCATATTTTGCTGTGAAGTACAGCCAGACTTTGACCGCTTCGCCTTGGACATTTTTAATCTGTAGCTCTGCTCTAACTGAACGTACGTACCTGGCCCCGCCTACTATCCTCGGAAACGTAAAATGATTGGCTAGAATCTGAAGTGTATCACAGGTCAGGAAAAAAAAGCACCGAAATAAAGCACCGAAATGTGCGCTGCTTTTCGGTCTGGTTACTACCGTTTATGTCAGAACCGGTGTCATCATGGCACCGGACACCGGTACCCATCCCTACACATCACTGATGGTGATATAGAATAGGAAGTTCTTAGACATGCTCCTGAGGGGAAGTTTTTGTTCAGTATTTGGTATTTTGTGCTCCACTTTCATTCTTAAATACACAACTTCAGATGCCATTGTTGGAGTATGGTGGGGGTCCTGGAAAGTGAGGATGAGATCAAAGAAACTGGAGGGAGGATATTGACATAGGAGATTTCCTCCCATGGGTTAAAAGGTTTTTTTGTTTTCTTTCCCTCTGTAACAATTGCGTCATCATTTCCAGTTGACCACTGACCTAAGGCCAATGGCCTGTAACATCCAGTAACTACTATTATTAGAGACATGGGAGAATATTATCAACTTTTTGGGACCCGTGAAACAGGTCTAAGGGAGAAAGACCGTTTTGGTCCAGCATCACACCTGTGAAGGATACCAAGGAGCAGCAAGAGGCTTTCAGCTGGGTTATGGATTTATTTCAAACCAAATAAGGGAAACTGCGGTTTTCACCCAACTTTCTGACCAATCACATTAACATTGCGTATTTTATGTCTTCATGAATGCTCAGTAATCCAAGTAAATCCCAATAGGTTGATTCTGTTCATCTGAACGTAACTTTTCAGTGGGAGAAACGTTTCGTCACTCTGCCTTCTTCAGTTGCAGCTGACTGCAGGTGTCCCCAAACTTATAAACAGCACATTTGCACAATGACTGAAACCAGCCCACTGAAGGAACAATGAGGTGTGATGTCAGTTCCTTGACCATTAATATGCAAATTGTCATGACCACTGATCAACAACCATTGCTCAAAGACCACTGATCATTGATCAAAGCCCACTGATCAATGGCCATGAGTCCCATTCACAGAGTGTTGGGGAATGGCTGCAATCACAGCATTGTAAGATGGTGACAGATGTACCCTTAGGCCCCCTCATCGATTCAGAGATGGTCTTTCCCTTTTCACATAACTGGCCTCCTTGACTCCCCACTCAAACCAGTGTTCCTCCCTGTCCTGGATGTTACATCCTCATCACTGAAAGCGTCTCCACAGGCTTTCAAAGTCCTGGCCTGACAAGTTAGCTCTTCTGTGTTGCACCATCCCCTTAGCCAGAGGTTATTTGGTTTCCCTGATGTATAAAACATGGCACTCATGGTGTTTTGGAGTTTAAATGCCACAGAGGGCGCCGGTTTAGCTCAGTTGGGATAACCACATTTACTCAGGGCCTTCTCGATGTAATGGGGATGGTGTTCGCTCTATGTTGTAGCATCTTGATGACACCCAGTTTGTGCTCCAGTGGATGTTTACACTCAAACCTTAAATACTGTATGTATGTATGTATCTGTATGTGTATAGGTTTATGGTATACATTAACATTTAAATGGAAAATCTCACAGTCTAAGAAGGCAAACTGCAACCTTTCATATCATCCCTGGTGAATTTGATGTGTTGGTCCTCCTAGTTAATGTGATCCGTTAATTGCGGTACGTCCTGAGATTTGATTTTCACCCATCATGATGTCGCCATGAAGCCCACATAGCCTCCATTTCTTCCATGTACATGTTCAGTCAGCTGAGACCGAAGAAGTCACTTGCATGAGTGACAAAGTGTTTCTCCCACTTAAAACGCTACGTCCAGATGAACAGAGTCAACCCTTTGGGATTCTGTATTTCACCACATACAATAAAAGTGTTTACTGCTTGCATGAGGCATCCTTTGTCTCATGTTTCTGAAAGGTGGCGGTCCATGGTGCCATCTAAAACTAATTTGAAAATGTTTGATAATAAATTGTGAAAACTTATAATTTGAGCATATTCGTCTTCTCTCTCTAAAGAAGAACACAACACCACCTAACAGTGGCAACAAGGCGGCAACTTCCAGAAAATGCACTTCTTGTCACTTTTCCATTTCAAACCAACAACAGTAAATTTCACTGATAGACTTTTATAGGGTTTTAAAGATGTAGGGTTTATTTTTTTAAACAACAGGGTTTGAAAGGGAGCATTATGCACACAGAGCATCAGGGATACGAAAGCTAGGTTAACACTAGCAAGACAGTTTATAAACCTCGAACTAAACTGCAAGAAGGCACAAAAACAGTTTGCATAAGAGTGTACCATGTATAAGAATCACAGCAATGCCAACAATAACCCCTCATGCTGAAGCTTGTGCTGTTGTGCCACTGTACCCAGGTGCTTCTTCTCACTGTTTTTATTTTTTATCAGCCTTTTTCAGCAAAGTGACGTGGGTCATATGGTGCTCTCAGCCGTGCACCATATGACTGAAGCTTGTTGCCTTCTCGCTCCACTGAGCTAAACCAGTGGTAATTATTTGTGGTTGAACCAGAATGTCACTTAAGGATTACACGTTGTCATATAAATGTGCTTGCCTAACGTTATTAAAATTTGCCTGATAACTGTTACTTCTTGAGTTATTTCTAAGTAAATCAATTAAATCTACTTTCAGTTTAATTCTATTTAGGTTTTGTCTTCTTTCTTAGTCATACTTCTGAAAGGGTAATATAACATGCTCTATTTTGTGATTATCTCCACAGTACTTGCATTTTCAAATGCAATATTTCCCTAAAATGAATAATGTGCACGTCTTCTGCTTGTTGGTTTTCCTTAGTAGTGGTTTTTACCAGCTAATTGTCAATAAAGGTCTGATTCGCACAGTCTCCTCTGAACAGTTAATGCAAAGATCTGTCTGCTACTGCATTTATCTGGACTTTAACCAGAGGTGCTGGTGATTTGGATGAATTTATCCTCAGCACCAGAGTTGACACTCTTTACGTAGCTGATTGGTTCTTGCCATAAATATGAATTGTAACAGTTGTCAAATAGGGCTTTACACCTGTGAAGTGAAAGCCATTTCAGGTGACTACATCATAGAGCTCACCGAGAGAACGCCGAGGGTTTGCAGTTCTGTCAACAAAGCAAAGGGGGGCTACTGTTAGGAATCTAAAATATAAGATATATTTAGAGTTGTTTATCAATGTTTTCTTTGCTACATTCTATATATATCTTGCTTCATATATTTGATGTCTTCAGTATGTACCTGTAATGTAGAAAGTAGTAAAAACATTATATGAGAAGGTGTGTCCAAACTTTTGACTGGTAGTGTATTATATTGAGTATAAGAAATTCCTTTTTTCTAGCACAAATGGTGAATGCAGAAATGTATATCCAAATGTCCCTGTCCATAGTCAGCTATTGACAAGTGAGTGTGATAAAGAGCAGTCTAGACCCAGTTAATGACCCATAAGTGGACAGACTGTTATTAATACTGTTGAAAAGATGAGTACATTCATCAGAGATCTCCATGGTTGAAATGTATATCTTATATTCTTTGTATATTTTGTATGTTGTATAATGCTGTACCCTCGTGATTTTGTTTTCTACTGTCCCAGGCACCCGGGACAGCAAAATGAATTAATGTGTAGCAATTTCCCTTCAGCTCCACATTACAAAATTATTTATTTATGTATTTTTAGGGCCTTTATTTTGATAGCAAAGTTAGGACAGAGCTGGGTAAAAACACACTGGGCTTGGTGTGCTTTTTTCTACCTCCAGTGGGGGCTTCCCAGTATTTTTTGAGCCTTCCCACTGCTCTACAAACATGAATTTCACGTTCTCTCATCGTCACCAGCCAGTTTTACACACGTCTATAGAATTTCAAATTCAAATTCAAATTTTATTTGTCACGTACACAGTCATACACAGTACGATATGCAGTGAAATGCTTAGACAACTGCTCGTGACCTAAAGAAAAAAAAGGAAAAGGCTATGAATAAGATAGGAAATAAATATGAAAAATTAAAAAGGTTAA